AGTAAATTAGGTTGTATTTATCCAATTTTTTGACACTATTTTAAAACAGATCATTAAATTTAATAGAAATATATTTCTTTAGAATTTATTATATTTTGTCATTGTTTACATTTTTCTACTACTTGCTATTTTGGAAGTATGCTTTATTTTTTCATTTTAATATTTTATTAATGACAAAATAATTGTTAAAAAGTTCTCTTAACATTGGAAGATAATAAATAAATCCAGCACCTTCAAAAAAGTTACTCATTGATTTGAAGTTTTCATATTTACCTTTCTCCTTGTTTATGTAATTTTCTTTTCTTTCCTTTCTACAATCAACATAACTGAATGATAAGAATTCCAAAAACAGCTTACAAAAGCTGCTTTCTACAAATGCATCTGGATAAGATTACCTAAATATTTGAAATTCTATTTTAATTTTCTCTTTATCTGCCACTACAAAATATACTGTTTTTGGCTTGTACATGCATATGTGGGATGTTCCAAAAGTAATGTCTCATTTATTTTTATGAAAACCATGACAATTACAAATAGTGTAATTAATAAAACGATTGGACATAGCCATCACAAAACAATTTTTCCATACCAGCATTACCATTGGCTAGTCATTTTTTGCTAATGATTAATATAAACCTACATGTCACATACATTGTCTAACTATGCTCACATCTACTGTTTGATTTCTGTAAATGTTCAGCAAATGTCAATTGCTAGTGGGTAATTGTTTTTTTTTTTTTTTCTTTCCTCTTCCACAAGAGGGAATTTAGTGATACACCTGCTTCATACATATTTTTATATCAGATGCCATTTTTGCTAGACTATTATTCATTTGAAAGGTATTAGTTTTGGCAAGATCCATGTACATGTATGCGTATATATATACACACACACACACACACAACATATATATATCAATATTTACATTATTCGGACTATTGTTCTCATCTTTGTCGCCATATTTATTACAACATTTCGGACGTTGTACACTTCGGCCTTCTTCAGGTGGTTGGAATGTCAAATTGAACCCTTTATTTATGCTCACTAACCCCTTTATTCACTGTTCCATGTGTCCTTGAGAACACCTAGCCCGGTGGATAAAGGCGTTAGTTAGATCCAGTGACAGGACCCAAAAAAGTGTGAGTTCAATACCTGGTTAACGTGGTGGAGAACTTGGAGAGTGAATTAAGCAGGAGATAACTGATAACTGGCATCCATTAGACATGGCATGTGGAACTAGAACAGTCTACCCCAAAAGCTTCAACATTATTTCTTTTTGTATTAAGTATGATGTTTAAGATCATGACGTTTTAATGAATTGGTTCTTTTTTAAATATAAATCTTACCTTATTCTAATAAAATTTATTACCACAGATTTCAGTTAAAGAAAGTATATTACTTTAGATTCAATTTTACTTTTAATTTTGCATAGCAAGTACAGTCTGATTGCCAAGTCTTGTAAGTTTGTATTTGTGTATTCTGTATAAAATATTTGCTTTTTTTCTTCTATATTCAATGCTAATTTATATCTTTGATGTACCAGCTGATGGTAAAAAATGTGATCAGAATAACACTGAAGCAAATCATAAGCTATATAAATCTATCGGAATGGTGTTGTTGGAAAAAATGAAGCTTATTGTTTTTGTACCTGAATTCATGACTTCATCTGTGTCCCCCCCACACACACAGAGGCATGCACCACTTCTCTTTTTTTTTTTTTTTTTTTTTTTTTTTTTTTTTTTTCATTTTGCCTTTTCCTAAGATGAATTAAGATGTGTTGTCTAAGAGTCATAAGAAATAAGCTTGTTGAATAAGCCCTGCAAATTGAAATTGTTTATGCTTGATTCAAATTTGTGATTTTTGTTAATAAAAATGTCTATTTGGGGAATTAATATTCAAAGCATTTTTAAATATAACTTTTCTCTCCATTTTGAATTTTATAAGACAGATAAAAATTCTTCAAAATATTTTATATATGCAAAAAATGTTCAATACATATATTAATATATTAAAAAATGTAATTTCCACATTTCATGTTCCTAAACTATTTACAAAAATTAGTGTTTAGTTATTTATCAATAAGCATTTCTCACTTATATATTGTTCTATATTTAGCCAGCAACATTTCTCTTTAGGTGCATTGAGTATATTTGATAGTACTTTCACATGATTATGACTATTTGATAGATTTACACTCTAAAGGTCATGGTGCACTGGTTTACTTGGACAAGTGTCCTTGTTTTATCTCTAGGTTGAATAGTACAGAAAGTTGTATACTCTCATTCAGTGATGTCACAAGGATGAATTAATTAGGAAGAATTAACTGATTTGAGGTGTACTCTAGTATAGACAGCAGAATGAGAACAATCAGTCACCCTGGAATGAATAAAGGGTTTAGTTTAAAATTCTTGAAAATTACTAACTACAACAAACTCCTGAAGAAGGTTATAACTTCTGAAACGTGACTATAACTATCAAGATAACACAAGTCTGAATTAATCAGTGTATAATCTTAAAATCCTTAAGGTGTATTTCAGAGAGAGCAATAATTCTTTTTACTGTTTTATTGCACTAGAATGTTCAATATAGTTATTGACATCATTGATTTGTGTGTTGTTTGATTTTAACTTAAAATTAACTTTGTTATATAATAAAGGTTCTTCTCTTACCAACTATTCATTGTAGTCATGCAAATATTTGCAAAGTAGAACTTGACTCCAAATGTTTCTCGCTCACTCTCACATGTGCGTGCACACACAGCTTTTGCCTTTGGGAGTTGAAGTTAACTACAAACCATCCAATGCACTTATAGAGCTTTGTCAAAGCAAGCTATAATTGCTTGATGTGAGTGCAATTTTCATCCATCATATCAAATGTCTACATCTTTGTTATATTCACCACCTGATATAAGTTGTTCCAAAGAATATTATGCTATTTTTCTCTAATTCTGTAACCAGTCTGGCATTACCCAGAGCAGATATTATCTCTCTCTCTCTAGTAATGTTTGTCCTCTTTTCTCTTAATTAGCCCCCAACTCTTTGCACAATTCACTCTTTCAATAAGCCTGTTCTTGTTCATTATAAGATAATCTCATGGTTGCATTATTTTTCTTTTACTCTCTACTCTAAACTTGGAAGACTCTTTAACCCCATCTGTAAGCTTTCATTTCATTTTCTCTAATATATTTTCTAAATACATTTAAACCTATATTGATTCTTATAGATAACCACATCATTGAATTTATTGGATGGTGGCTTGTTTGTTAACTGAGAAATAATCTAATCTTTGGTTGAGGTTGATTAAAAACAGGCAGAATTTATTTGTAGCAACCAACTTTTGTAGTAGATAATACTGGAAAACATATAGTCAAGATGAATACTTAAATGCCATTAAGATGTATACTCTATAATTTTTGATTTCACCTAATGGCATAACCAGATTTGATTTTGGGTCATGTATATATGACAAGACTAACCTTTGTGTATATTGGATAAGATTTGTCATGGTATTGATGCTTCACTTGCTTATCTCTGCCTTTGCCAGACAGATGTTTTTATTTACTTCAATTATCTCTTTTTTTTTTTTTTTTTTCTTTTACATATAAACTTGTCAATGAATAAAGCTTACAAAAATTTTCTCAATTGATTAATATTCTAAACTGTATCAGGTTTGGGAAAATTTATATGCAGAATTAAAGTACAATTTCTTCTTTGTTTTATGTATACATCTTTTAGAACTTAAATCTCTATGTACCACATCTCTTTAAGACATATATGATCATGGTTCTCCACAGCTTTTAGCTTTTTGTTGCTCTCGTTGGACTTCTCTGTCTTTTTGATACTTGTTTCTCAATCTATTTGCACAAAATTGTCACATAGGTTACATATTGATTTTTATCTGCTTTTTTTGCCTTAATGTGTCTTGTAAGTATTAATTTCTCCAAACCTCCTTTCTTCATAAACAAACTAGTAAATTATAAGCAAATGTTTCTCAAATATATACAAAGAGTCAGCAATTTGCTGTGTATTTAATGGGAATTTTCTATTGTCTATTGTAAAAGCTTGTATCTGAGTAATTAATATGGGCATCTTTGTTCAATTGAAAATTGTTTTTGTAAATGAAGACCTGCTTATTATTTATGATTTATTGTGGCATATTAAAGAAAGTAAAAACATGTTTATAATTAGTTCTGGGTTTTATTTTTCTGTTTTTTTTTTTTTGTTTTTTTTTTTTTTTTTTTTTTTTCTGTTTTTTTTTTGTTTGTTTTTTTTCTGTTTTTTTTTCTGTTTTTTTTTTTTTTTAACAACTTTATTTTAGCATTGGTGTGATTATATTTTTTTTTATTTTATAATAAATTAAAAAAATGGAAATTTAGTTTCTTGAAGATTGCATCTAAGAAAATAAATATGATCTTACTATAGTTATTAAGATTTCTTAATGTTAACTTATTTTGAGGTAATGATTTTTCTAAGTGACTTTGTCATGTTTTTGTAGCAATGCTAATAGTAAATGTAATTTTGGTAAACTGAAGGCAAAAATGAAATTATTCATTATTGATCATTTATATCAAAGATTACATTATGTAAATATATGTAAGGCAAATACTATACAAGACATGTCCCATATCGTACCTACCTGCCTGCCTCCTGTATAAATGAATTATTAACTATATATCAAACTTTCATTTATACAATTTCCACCATGAATACTGAATAAGAACATTTTTTTTCTTTTTTAGTACAGTATTATTGCATCATTGGTAGATTTGTAAAAGTAAATACTAGTGTTTGATTTCATTCTTATATTATTTTAATTATTACTGATTGTCCCCTATCCCTTTAAGTGTCAGGCTATATTACCTCAAAAGTAGACAATATGTACAATTTCATAATATCAAGTCAAACAATTTTAATTTCTTTCAGCTTTTCCTTGAGAATGTTATTTGTTGTTTTTTTTTTTTTTTTTTTTCAACATGAGAGTATTGATTGTCTTTATCGTAGGTATTTGCTTGGCAAGTAGCTGACCAGCTGTTGACTGTGAACAGAGATCTGGAATCTTGTTACTTTGCAGCTCAAACTATGAGAACAAAAGTGAGTATAATCATATGCACCACACCCTGTCTGCAGTATTTAATATTGAATTAGCTATGATGACAGATATATCTTTAGTACAATGTTGGTTCATCTAAATTTGTCTGCCATTGAGATGTCCATTGAGATGTCTAGAAAACTTTGTTATATTTACATGAATAGATTGATGGAGGGGAATATAAAACTTAATTAAAAGAACATCTGATATGAAGCAGAAAAATAACACTTGATTCCAATCTGGCAGATTACATATTCTGTATACATTTCGTTTTTCAACTATTGTATAAAATCTTCCATTGAATCAGTTTGCTTTAGAATAGCATTTGTTGAAAATTTTTCGATGTTAAAATAGTTGGTAATGAAATATAAATGTTTTCTTACAATATCATGTTTTTGTCTTCCTTTGTTACAGATCCAATGTTTCTTCCATGAACTTCCTGCTTCATCACACACTGTAAGTATCAATTTGCAGAAAAATAGTTTCTTTGAAAAAAAAATGTATTTACTTTTAGTACAATTTAAGATATTCTAAAACATTTATATAATTTTTCAGAAGCTGAAGAAAAGAATTAATATTTAGAAATGTCAACACAAAATAGTCTTCTCATCTTTATTTCTCTCTCTCTCTCTCTCACTCACACTCACACTCTTACACTTTTTTATTTATTTTTTTTTTTTTTTTTTTATTAGCATGATCCAAAACTTACATAATTCTCTATTTGACCAATTACTTAAAATTAAATACTGCATATACTCAAGTATAATGTGAGTTTTTATCATCTGGTTTTTATACAACAAATAAGGGGTGCATTATACACAGGTAATTTTTTAAATTTATTTTTGAAGAGGTTAAAAATCATGAATTTTCAGTGACTGGTTGCACTATACACAAGCAATATTTTTCTGGAGTTATTAAAATTCATGCAAAAAATATTTCAGGGGTTGCACTATACCTGAAGTTGGCTTATATGTGAGTATATACAGTAGGGCTCTGTTCAACAACTCTATTTTAAAAAAAAACAAAAAAAAACTGTATAATTTTTAAACATTTATTTTTACCTTTAATCTGATAATAACTCTACAAATATATTCTTAAGGTAATGTATTTTCCATCATTTATGAACATGTATATTATTTCCTAAGTGATCTGCTTTATTTTCCAGTGTTTAAGAGACTCCCTTCTGAATCATGCCAGTAAGATAACTCCTGAAACACCTCCTGTGATAGTCACACAAGTGAGTTGTAATAATTTTTCCCCTTGGATTTTTTATACTTATGATATAATTATTCTTTTTGCTATACCCTCCTCCCTCTCTAAAATATTATGTTCAATTTGAAATTTAAACTTTCACCATAGGTCAATGGATGTTATGCTTTAACAAAGAAGCTTGATTCTTTTACTCTCTTGAATATTTAGCTATGTTGTTTCTATTAATGTTTCCTTTTCTCCTCTGTCAAATATTCTCCATCTCAACTTCCATTATTTCTTATCAGAGGAATTAGTCATTATAAGAAAGAAAATACTAAATATAGTAACTCCTTCCTACTGTAGACAAATTGATACCTAATTCTTGCTATAGTTTTAGCTTGTTAATATAAAGTGTTTTTTTTGTTTTGTTTTTTTTTTTTTTTTGTTTTTTTTGTTTTTCTATTAACTTTTAACATTTTAACTCTATGTAAGTATTTTTAACTTTATATATATATATATATATATATATATATATATATATATATCTGAATGTTGTTTATTTCTGATATTTACTTAATATTTCAAAGGCCACTTGACTCCTTTTCAACTGGATTGATAATTTTTTTCTTCAGTTGTCACTGGCTGTGGCTGATCTTGCTTTACAAATGGGGACCTGGAAAAGAGCTGTAGTTGATCTTATTGAAAGGTAACTGTTATTCCTTTCCCATTTTGTATTTTTTTTTTTTTTTTTTTAATTATTCCAGATTTAATTAAAATTCATATAAAACTTAATTTTTTTAAAAAATGAAATCTCATTTCCAAGAATTAAGATTGCTTATCTTACCTGAAATCTCACTTCATTGCTTTTGCTAACCTAATAATTTTATAACTTTTCTTTTATGCTGTCAAATCTTTCTACAGCTAAAACCAGAATATTGAAGTGTTACTATTTCTTTTCATGTCTATTTATTAGTTAGGTGCCATTCTTGGAACTTGTTTTTTTTTTTTTAAGTATTCATACTTAACTCTTATTTTAACCTTTTTTTTTTTTTCTATTAAGAACCAGTATGGATTTTATTTCTTTAATGTTGTCTTTGATTTTTAATTTTTTAAATTCATATCTTCTATTTTAGATATGGTTCCAATTCACAGCAGTTACCATTCTTACTCGAAGTCCTTACTGTATTGCCAGAAGAGGTAGTAAGCTTAAAATGTTTTTCTCAACATTTTACTTTCTCTATAAAAATACAAATCTACTTCATTGTAAGAATAATTTTTGTCTTGTTTACAATTTAGACTTGATGTTTTTAATCAATCTGTATATATGTATATGTTCATAGCCAGGCACAGTTAGCTGAAATTTTCACTATATAATGTTTGATCTGTGATTAATTTGGTTTGAGTCTCCTTCCTTATCAGTGCACTATGGTGAAAGATAAATACTTGTTGGGTCAGATAAATGCTTTTTTTAGTTTTTATTTTAATCATTATTTGGTTACAGATTTATTAATGTACCTCCATACATGGATGTTTAAAATTTTTGTATATCAGTTACAGAATTATCTGTAAATATTGATTGACCATAAATTTTTCTGGATTTGTTTATTTTTATTCATACTATTAAATGATTGTTTTACAGATTGGCAGCAAAGCTTTACGTTTAGGTGCTAATAGAAGGTTGGAGGTATCAGGAGACTTATTCAAAACTTCTCCAGTAGTTGTACAACTTCTAGTAAGTTCTTTCTGTTTATTATTAAACCATCAAGATAAAATGCAATATTTTCTTAACTATTTTTAAAATAGCTTTTAAGATATAAACATTTTTTTTAAAATCCTAATGTAGGTGATGGTAATAATTGTAAATATAACCACATATTCCCTAATATTTAAATTAAAGAACAGTATTTATAAAGAATATTTGTCATCTTTTTATATTTGAAACAATTTAAAACTTGTAAATTTTAGTTATGAGTTTAATAAGAATAATGTTACCAAAGATAATTATGAATTTCATATAAAAAGCAAAAAAACTTTTTAACTTTATATCTTTTATAAAACTTGTTTCTCAAAATAAAAAAAATTCTGTTGAATTTTTCTTATATACAGATACTTAATTCAATCATTTGGTTTCAGATGATTCATGCTGATAAAAAAAATCCTTGAAGTTGTTCATAAAGTAGATAATGATTACTTAGCTCCCATTAACTATGCATTTAAATTATTTTCTACAGACTGCCTGTATTGAAAATAACCAGTTTGATAGTCGACTGCAGATGAAAATATTTCGTTGCTTAGGGAGTTGGTTCAATATCAATGCTATTTCGCAGGATGATATTGTCAACTCCAAAGTCCTTCACGCTGCGTTTCATGTTTTGGTAAGTATTCACATATATATAAAACTGTGCGTGTGTGGCACATTTTACAGAGTGAACAATTACAACACTCCGATCCTAGGTAGAAGTTCTGATCTATATGTAAATAATCATGTCGGTTTTTGACATGTACTATGCTAGTAGAAAATAAAGCGTTTATCTAATGCTATAAACTCTGTATAGTCTTATTTGGATAATGGAATAAAAGTCTCTTCTAACTTCAGTAATTGATTAAACTGAAAAATGTTCTGCATAATATAAAATATTTTATTGCTAACTCTTGATGAAATTAGATTTAGAATTGTACAATAATTGGATACTATAGTTAAAACATTTGTAATAATGTTTGAATTTCTTAGAGAAAACATTGTTAATTTTTCATTGGTATTTATTTCATTTTATTTATATTGTAACTCCCATATTGTCATTTTAAGATTAAGTTAATAAAAGTGTGGATCAGAAATGAAGACTAAAACTTCAATGATATTTGAACTTTTATCCATTTTCCTTGGATGTCCTTTTCATGACACTAGATTACCAATTAGCTTTTGTTGCTTAATCACTAAACCATCACTGTCACAGAAAGGCTAAGGTGCATAAGTTCAAATTACACCAGAGGCTTATTCTTTAAATCCAACTTGCTATCAAGTTGTTAAGAAACTAATGCAGCTGTTTAAATATGAAATTTAAAATGACATGTTTCAGTTAAGAATAAACTTAATAAATTAATCAAAACAAAAACCATTAAAATCTACATTTATTTTGATAACAAGATACATGTATATTTATTCCAGTGACATAGAATTATGAAGTTCTGGAAACAATGGATTCTTTGAAGGCATTTTTTGCTGTAGTTTGCTTGTTGGAGATTTTTCCTTGCAAGAAATTTTTGCAATACTTGAATAAGTGGTAGTCAGTCATTGAAAGGTCCAGTGAACATGCTGGATGAGGCAGTTTTGTAGTCTAATTAGTTCAACTTCTGGTTGTACAATGTATGGTTGAGCATTGTCATGCAAGAGGATGGGACCTTTTCTATTGACCAATGCTGGACACCTGTAAGTCGTGCTGCATTTCATTGATTTTGTGATAGTAATTCTCTACTGTGATTGTTTTGCCAAGATTCAGAAAATTGTAGTGCATTAATCTGGCTGTGGACCATCAAACAGTCACCATAATCTTCTTTTGAGGCAACTTCAGCTGTATGAATTGTTAGGGAGTTTCATCTCCATCCACTGAGCTGAAAATTGTCAGGCTTTGTGCAGGATTAACTTTACATTGCACATCACAATGTAATCAAGAAATGGATTGTTTTTGTTGCTCAGCAGAAGTGAAGAATAGACTTCATAATGATTTTTTTTTCATTCACTTTGTATTCTGTAAGTTTCTTTCCAATTTTGTTCAAAAATTTGTTTGAAATTATTCTAATGTTTTTTCCCTCCTGCAATCAAGATAGGTGAGGATTTTCTTCCACCCTTGCCTTCAATTTATTATCATCAATGGCAGAAAGATGTCTGCAAACCTTTTTTATCTTCAAGACTGAATACATCATGAGAGAATTTTTGAAACCAGTATTTCCCTATACATTCATTAATTCTTCCTTTACTTCAGGCCAAGTCATAGTGAAACTCATGACCAGAACTGGAAGCTTATCTCATCTTATTCCACTAGGTTTTGTGATTAGCTACTGTAGTTGGTTTAAGAAATATTTACCTTTTTACATTGGGAATGTCTTTAGCTTATTTAACTGAAGTATAGGATTCATTTATTTTATTTCCTTCATTATTTTCTTTTCATTTCTTTGCACAAAATTCACCAAAAAAATTGTAATTTAGGAAACTTGTTTTTTACTTGGAATTTAATGTAACATTTTTCACTTAAAATTAATTTTATCTTCTGCTCTAAGACAAATACATTAATGATCAACTTCGATTTTAAAAAAAAAAAAAAAAAAAAATAATAATTTATTAATATGGTTTTCTTTCTAGTCTTTATGACAAATGTTACAGTCTCTCTCAAAAAAGTTAAATTTAATGCATTTCATTTTTAACAATTTTCTCCCAAAGATTTTTTGACTCTGTTTTTACATCATAAAATTTATTTAAATATGCTATTATTTGTTACATAAAGTTGATATATTTTTCTTTGATATTGTTATTCTTAACAATAAATGTCTAATAAAATTAATTATTTTGAATACTTTTTTCTTTTAAGTATGTTGAATTGTAGTTTACCATTAAAAAACATAAAATAGGAGCAAATATATTTTATATTACAAAATTAAAAATCCTGTATTAATGTTATATAAAGTTAGTAATGATTGAATTCAGTAAATTTAATCTGATATTTTAGATATTATAAATGAGGTGTACAAAAAGTTAATCCTAACCCTGCTGATAAACCATACATTTTCAAGTCAATTTTTTCTTTTAGGCACTACTAAAATCATAAAGTACATACATAACAAAATAAGTCAATGTAACAATATTTAATTTATTTCTAAACAATAAAATAAAATATTACTTATTTATTGTTTCATATTATTTTTGTTCCAGAATTCATAGTTCTGATATTTAAAAAAAAAAAATTAAAACTGTTTTAACATGGATAATTAATTCAAAGATTAAAATGCATATGACATTTTGTACACCCTTGTTAATGGGATGGGAAGGGATGAAGCCAAAGCTCAGCCAAGTTATATTAATTGTAAGTGGACCTTAGTAAAGAAAAAAATATACCAAGATAAAGAAGATTAACTTTTTAAGCCAAATTATGCCATAAATCTCTACTTTTTCTCTTTGCTGCTGTAGTCAGCTTGAGAAATTCAAGCTAACACCAATGAAAAATAAAAAATCTTTGTTCCCAGCAGAACACAAAGATGCGAGATAGGCCTCCAGTTCTGGCCATGAGTTGCTCTATGACTTGTCTTGAAGTAAAGAACACCATGCTTTCACCCCAAACTTCATTGATGTTTCTTACCTTTTGTATTACACTGCAGCAGAGTTTATTCAAATAAATTGAACTAAAATCTTGTTTTGTTATAACTTCAAAGATCTGAAAATTGACAAAAATGCAATTTATATTAAAAATGGATTAAGTAGAAAGAGCGTAAAATATACTTTAAAATTATACACAATTTTACACACCTTGTGTGAAATTCTCTTATAAAAATGTTGAAACAAAAACATAAAACCTACATTAATTTATGAACAACGTGATATTTACTTAACACTTGTAGAATTATAATGACCGAAGAATTGCAACAAATAAAATAAATTTAAAGTTGCTAATTTTTTATCTTTTCATAATATAAAACACAAAAACATTTCTGTTTTACTTGAATCATTATCATCATTGTTATTTCTGCTTTGCTAGTCATATTAAATCTACTTTCTTATTTACAGTCAGTAAAAGATTGTCCTTCCAATCTCCATGAAGCTGCTTCAGACTGTATATGTTCTGCTTTGTGCAGTGTAGAGGTATTTGTCTACTTTTTCATTTTTATCATTATTAAATGTAATTTAATATCTTTGTCAGTATTTCTGTTTTATATCTTCTGATGTTTATTAAATTTAAACTTAAAAATGTTGAATTTTTTTTTTTTTTTTTTTTATCTAAGAAGGAAAAAATGAAGAATTAGAACATGTCTCATAGGATAGCAGCTGTAATGAAATTTGGGGCTGCTTAAATAAGGGTGGAAATAAGGAAAACTTTTTTTTTGTAAAGTATTACAGATCTTTGTCTTATAGATAATTATACGATTTTCTTAACTGATTAAGCTGAATAGTAAATTTATTGAATTACATGATATTTATAAGATTTTTAAATATAAAGAATGAGATTGGAATTCTTGTAACTAACTTTTTCTTTTTTTTTTTTCAGGAATTAGGAAAGAATCTTGAGCTTGCAGAAGCATTATTTCGTGGCGTGTTAACTCTGCAGGAGGCTTATCATATATCTGTGGCACAAGAAGATACAGATAAGTAAGTTTCATGCTGTGTACATAGTTTTTTTTTTTTTTTTTTTTTTTTAAATAATCATTGAATTTCTAAAAATTTAATTTATATCTATTATCTTTTGTTTGCCTTTATGGCTGATGCTAACTTCCAGAAGAGTAACTCCTTGCACCTTCTTGGTTTGTTTTCCATTGATAGGGATTAGAATGACCATATTGAGTTGATTGTGAAGTCTGCTGCTAAGAAAGTTGATTCACTTCTAGATAATTTTTCTCGCCCGAATCTGTCTTGCCTATTTATAACTCAACCATTCATCATTGCATTGAATATTGTTGCCACATCTGGTCTGGTGCTTCTGCTATATATCTAGAGATTCTTAACAAAATCTAAAGAGGAATCTGCAATGTTATCAGGACTGACACAACATGTTGCCTTCAATCACTTTCCCCCACTGCCATAATGTAGATTCCTATGGCATATATATATATATATATATATATATATATATATATATATATATATATATATATATTCCTGACAATTATTCTGATGAGCTTTCCTCTTCTGTATCTTAATTTCTTGAATTTAAGTACAGTACTAGATTGGTAGCTTGGTCTTATCATTTTACTGTTGAAATTGTATGTTCTATTCTAATTTTTTTTATTTTTTTTATTCACACTTTTTGCTTGTGGGACTCTCTTCTGGCTTGCTTTCCTGTCAATTATGGTCTTCAAAGATTTAAGAACAATATCAGTTGTCATTTTTAGTCTCCTTAAATACTGTTCTTTTTGACGACTTTTCTCCTCGGTAACACATTCTCATTTTCCTGAACTGTGTAACCCCTTAGTGGCGTTTTTGCTATGTTTTGGTGTGAGATATATATTCATTCATTGGTCAATAAACTCCAGAGTTCACTTCATGCTAATACCATTAGTGAAGGCATGAATACATCTTTCACGATAAATCAGATTGAGGATTATTCCCTGCTGCCCAGTCCCCTAGCTACAGACAAATAGCAGTGCATTTGGAGCCTTCAACCCTGTAAGGCAGTCCAGCTAAGAGAAAGCAGCTCTGATAAAAACCTACAGCTTAGCTAAGCAAGTCACTAATCCTAAGAGTTCACTTGGTAATTTCTCTTTGAATTTATTAGATGAGTTATTTGCATTATTTACAGTAGGGCTAATATCCTCATTTTTGATGTTATTATCACAATGTTTCTGTTAATATGCCCTCTAGCCTTCTTCAGGTGTCAGTCCATCTGACTAACATTCACCCAAAACATTATGATAACAAAAATGAGGACATTTGTCTGACTATAAATAATGTATGGTGCGTGTACGTGCATCTCTATTTTAACCTTCAGAGGTAAGAAATGGAGTGTGTAACAGATAGACAGTTTCCTACTTCCTTGATCCTTGCATATGAAGAATGCCCTACCACCACCACCACTTTTTTTTTTTTTTTTTTTTTTTTTTTTTTTTTTTTTTTGAACCATGCATTTATAGGCTAGCAAATATAGTAATTAAATTTTTCTAGATGTAAAGAAAAAAAATTATAAACCTCAGTAGTATCATGACACTTACAGCAAATTTTGCTATGTTTAAAAATTCTTGTTTTTTTGTCTCTTATTCTTGCCATTGATAACTTTTTTTATATATGTATAATTCTTTTACAGAACCATCAACTACTGTAGGATTTTTGCAGAAATGGCAGAATCATTTTTACCAGCTATAATTTCTACCCCAACTCAGGTGAATGCAAAAGCTTTATATTATTCAAATAGCACAATTAAAATGCAGATTATAAATTTGTACTTCTTGACCCATTAATCACAAAAAAAAAAAAAACACTATATATTGAAATTCTGATAAAAATTCAGCTTAATAACGGTTGGGTTAGACTTTTTGATCTACTCTTGTACTTGAATGATAAAATGGCAGCCATAACTACAAAGTAATCTTAATGAATATAAACTGTTTCTTTGTTTTAGGGACTAGGAGATTTCACTTCCTTGGACCTTCTTTTAATTTGTGCAGGGCACCATTTATATGAGGTAAGTATTCTTTAAATTATTATGATATAATATTTATTCAGTACAATGTTCTAATTGCTGTATTTATCTTCTGGCATTATTTTGAATGAATTACTGTTTTAATTGTTGATTCTATGACAGGTTATGAAGTATCTTTGGTATTTTCTACCATCAAAAGTTATATTTTTAGTATTTGTCTAATTTTATATCGAGTAGAAAACATTTTTTAGATCATTTCCTTTCCACTTTTTTCTGTTTCCTTTACCTCTTTCCCCCCAATTTCCATTTCTCTTCCCCCCCCCCCGTTATTTCCTTTTTCCCTCTTTACCGTTTCCCTTTTCTTTCTTTTTCTGTTTACAAAAAATTAATTCAGTTACTTTTCTTACAATCTAAATTTTTATTTAATTTTACGTTTTTTTTTTGTTTTTTTTCCCCTCTCTATAAGGTTTAAAACTTGATATGTCACTTTCCCTTCACTAATAATTTTGGAATATGATTTTAAAGGAATATACAGTTTTGTACTAAGTATTAACATGAAAACTTTGTTTACTTTTTAATTAGGTGGCTGAAATAACTTTTAGCTTTTGGTATCGATTATCAGAAGAACTTTACCACAAGAATGATGAGCAAATCAATGAAATATTCCGTCCCTATATTCAAAGATTGATTGTGGCTCTGTGTCGCCATTGCCAACTTGAACCAGACCATGTAAGCTTCTAAGATTTAATTTTCCTTTATGTACTGGTAATACTGTTTCATCTTATTGTTTTAAAAATATTGTTTAAAGCGTTTCTGACATTATATAAAATATTTTCCAGTTATAAATATATGTTACTGAAAACCTTTAATAAGTGTTCTTATTGCATTTATTTTAAGATTTGTAAATTAATTATATTAACTTTATCATTTAAGCCTTTAAAACTTAAAAAAAAAAATTAGCTGTTTTCAAAAAGTGCAAAATGATATATTTTATCAATTGCTACTGATGAAAAAAAAGCAAGCAAATAAAGATTGCTTTTTAACTTAAATAATACTCATTAAAGTTGCCCCAAATTTATCTAACAATGTTAAACTCATTTTTGTAATTACTTAAATGGAAATTATAACATTTCTGAAATAATGATTGATGTTATTTTTATTTATTTTTAATACCTTATTACCTTATCTATAATAAATTTGTTTTTGACCAAATACATTGTTTATCACAATGTGTTATTGTTGCTGCAATTATAATTTTAAAGTTAACTTTGCAGTTCTGCCTAATGATCATTCAATGAATTTAAAATTGTGCATTTTAAATGCATGACTTAGATATTAATTATAAAGATATAATAGAAACTGAATTAAAGGCATGAATTTATTATGAATTAAATTTTTAAGTAGCTCAATTTTCTAATTCTATTGTTTTCATTTTCAGGAAGGTGTTCCAGATGAAAGTTCAGATTTTGGAGAATTCAGAGCAAGAGTTTCCGAACTAACAAAAGACATTATATTTATTGTTGGATCTTCTACCTGTTTCAACCAGGTCAATATAAGTATCTGAATAATTGGTTCACTGAAATGTTTTATGAAAAAATTAAAGCAATTAGAAAGGATTGCAAAACTTGAAGGGTGTGAATCGTTTTTGTCATTTGAGAATTTTAACCCTTTCGAGCTGCCTGGGATATGTGTCCCACAGATGTTTTCAACACGTCCTGCAGGACATAATTGTCCCCAAAACGCATTGATATGTGATAAAGCAGACATAGTGTCCCATTGCTATATTTATAATACATTCAATAATATTATTTTTCTAAGTCAGTCATTTAGATGTGTCTACTGAAACAAACAATATTTTTTTGCTATATACATCAATTATGTGAATGTGGACTTGAAAGAGCTAAGGGACAGCATTTATTTATATTATAAATAAATTGAAAAGGCCAAAGAAATTACAATACTAAAAAATTAAGACAACTCAAATAAACTTGATTGCAAATAGTCATTATTTGACTGTGAGATTGATGTGAAGGAAGTTCTAGTACATTATTTAGAAGAATATAACTCTTTATACAATTATTTTTACAACTTTAACAGTCCACTATAAATCTATTTGGTACATCTACTTATATGCTTCTCATTTAAATTTAGTTTTGATTTATGCTTTAAATAATAATATAATTTTGTACGTGCTCTAGTTGTTGTAATAGGTAAGGAATCAATTGCATAATTGTTAGTGTTCATATCATATTTTACCTGCTCATTGCACTTTTTCTGAGTGATATGAAAAAGTTATACAAATTTTAATTTCTCCTAAATAATATAACTACAAATTTGAACTAAGTTAAATATATTTGTGTATAAAATGTTCCTGAGCTTTAAGTTTATCTGTTTCTTATTTGCAGATGTTTGAAACTCTTCAAGCTCAAACTGTGAGCACATCTTGGGATATATGTGAAGCTGCACTCTTTCTCATGACTGCTGTTGCAAAAAACATTGTATCGTAAGTCTTGAATGATGATGAAATAGCACATTTTTAATTTAAATGTAAACCTGAATTATTTAAATAAAATAGATGTTTATTTAAAATTAAAAAAAAAAAAATTTAATATATTTTAAGAATAATCATTTGTCAAGTCTTAAAATTTCCTTAAATATGATAGACTTTATAATGAGTATGATTTCTTAATCTTTTCAATTAATTTTTATTTTAATTTTAATCTTTCTTTTTACAGCGAAGAAAACAATGTTCCACAAGTAATTGAAGCAATGCTATCTCTCCCCGCTGATGCCCACGTAGCTGTCAAATACACTGGGATTCAGCTCATTGGAGAGTTATGTGAATGGATTGAAAAACGGCCACATCTGCTTGGTAAAACTTAAGATATTTTTGCCTTCTTGTTATTTCATCTAATCTCTGTTCACTTTTTCTTAATGAAGTTTTCTTCTATCTTGGCAAAATTATCAATTTGTTTGAATTACAAAGATACTTTTCTTGTTTAAATGCAATGATATTTCTTCAACAAATTCATTTTAATTGACAGTTCAAAGAAGTAATCTTGTTTATGTTGTTTTTTGGGGTTTTTTTTTATTAATTATTTTAAAATTTGTTTTTTATTGAATTTTATTTCAGATCCTGTTCTCCAATTCCTTTTGGCTGGGCTTCAGCAACCTGCTTTGGCATCTGTATCTGCTACAGCTCTTCAGAGCATTTGTACAAGCTGTCGATCACAAATGAAAGAACATTTTGATGGACTTCTTCAAATTGCACAGGCTATGGACTCTTTCAATTTGTCTAATGATGCTGCTATTGGGCTGCTTAAAGGTAATAATAATAGTTTATATCATCTGATTTTCATAATTATTTTTTATTTATCTTTATCTATTATGATTACTTGTTAAGATTTTTACTTTTTACCAACCTGGTACTGATTTACTGTAACTTTATAAAATTTACTTATTTCTATTTGATTATTGAGTATCTAAAACATTTTTTAATTTCAATATAAATGCTGGATGATCATTTTTTTTCTTTAACAATAAAAGAAATGTTCAAGATTTTAGAAACATAATTTATTATTACAAAAAAAGGACAGCATTCAACATTTCTATTTCAATATTCTATTTTTTGTAGGCACTGCAACTATTTTGACACAGTTACCCTATGAAAATGTTGGTGGAGGTTTGAAACAGTTGTGCTCATTTCAACTTGATCCCCTCAATAAGGTAATTTTTTTAGCTGGCTTCATTGTTTTTAGCACTTTCTTCTTGAATATATTTTTTGTGCATATACTGTCTTGACCTCTTACTGCTGTTGCTGAAGATATGCTGCTGTTTGTTTCTCTTTCTTTATTAATGGCTCCCATACAGTATGTATTTCTATGCTAGGCCTTCTGAGGAGGCTGATGTAGCCTAGCATATGCATCATTAATTCCTTCAGACATATTATTTTTCAGAATGTAGTAAATTTTTTTTTTTTTTTTTTTTTTTTTAACTTCATTCTTGATCACCCCTTTTCCCACCATACATGATCAGCTATACCCGATTTCACTAGGAAAAAAAGAAATGACAGCAACGCTTTAGCTGTAAGAAAATTGTAATGGTGTGATGAAGTTCAAATGGCACAGCAGCAAAAAGGCAGGCAATAAGAACATTTGATTTAAAGCTCCAAATTTTATGTTTAGGGTTGATCTACAGAACAATAGCCTAGTGGATTAAAACATTGATTAATGAATTTGGTGGAATAGTAATTGAGCTCAATCTCTGGGCTGGGTAGCACATAATCAGACTCTGTAGTGACAAGGTGAGCAATAACTGAGCAGTATTGAAAAGAATATGATGAGATATCCCTAAACATAGAGAAAATATAGCGTTCAGTTTGAATGGCAGACACCTGAAGAAGTCCAGAGAATGCAACAGCTGAAACATTGTGATAATAACAAAACAAGATGACATTAGTCTGAATGTAAATAAATAAAATGGGACTAATTAAAAAAAACAAAAAAAACACTTAGACATATATAAGCAACTAGCAGTAGAGCCCGGCGTTGCCTGGGGATATAACAGTAAGAGATAGATCGAGTATCCACCATCATAAAGACTGAAAAATAAAATTGACAAAGATTATTGTTTAAGGTTGACGGACACGCATGTCTGAATTAGTTGTTTTGTTTTTTTTTTTTTTTGTTTTTGTTTTTTTACGAATTGGTCAAACAAAAACATTGTTTTCAATCGTTATGAGTCTCTACCGATTGAATAGAATTTTATTATAAACAATTGTCTTGTAAATGGAATTTTTAAAGCATTCTGAATGTAAAAATAAAGAAAAAAGTGTGCAAGACAATAAGACCCCCCCCCCCAAAAGTGAAGTTTTGTTTTATCGGCTGAAAAATATAGGAAATCCAATCCCATATTTAAAGGAACCCACACACACAAACAACCAATGTGAGTTGTCCCCCTTCCATTTTCACGATGTCTCTTAATTGTGTTTTCAAATTGATTTTGTGCAAAAACAATTATATTTTTTCCCATTTTTGGCACTGTTAGAACCACCACAAGGTAATTTTATGTAGTCCTGTGAAGTTTTGTTGAAATCGGTTGAAAAATGTAGGAAATCCAATCCAATATATAAACGTTACAGACACACACACATACACACAATCTGCGTTTTATAATAAGTAAGATAAAAGTAATCTAACATTTTTACCACAAGAATTGCAAAATAATGTTCTTTGTTAGTTTTCTTGTACAAACATATAATCTTTTTGTAGAACATAAAGAACTCTGCTTTAGTCATGAAATAGTCTTGGTTGTTTTTTGGGTTTTTTTTTTTATCTCATGAGCAGTTGATATGTTTTGTTTTTTTTTTTTTTTTTTTTTTTGTTTTTTTTTTTTAAATAAACAATTTCTTTGATTTATTTGTAGCTTTTGGCAGAAGGTGAACCAACTGTGAAACAAGGAAGTAAGCATGATCCAACTTTGTGGCTTGATCGTTTAGCTGCAATATTCAGGTGAGTTAAACTCGGGTAATTATACTTGGGACAATATATAGGAATTAACAAATTTAAAATTATTGTTATTAAAATAAAGTGAGAAATTGAGGATTGGTTTTATTTTATGCCTGTATATTCTATGCAAATAATTTCAATTAAAAAAAATTTTATATTTAGTATTTTTATACATGTTTGAAAAATTTAATTTGATGATTACAAATTAAGTAAATAAATAAAAGGAAAATATACAAAAGATATCTTATTTCTTTTCTTGATCTAAGTTTGTCTATTGTGACATAACAAAAGTAGACAAAATCTATTTTTAAATGTGGACATTTATTTAATGTAGGTACCTCCACTTGTTTGCTCAAAAAACAGCGTAGCATGATAAAAAAAGGTCCCAAACTTAAAAACAATGTTTTATTGTCACAATTGTTTATTAAGGGGAAAGACCAAAGTATTTTTTATTAAATTTTTTAATCATTTCTATCATATTAAAAATTTTGATTAAAAATGTTTTTTTTTTCCTTAATGTCATTGGTCAATGTAATATTTACAATGAGTGTTTTAGCACACACACACACCAAGGTGAAAAGCACATTGGTTTGAAAATTCTTGCAAAAATCAAATAATTGGATTTTAACAAAACTTTCAGGACTTATTCACAACTAAATAAAATTATTCTGGAAATTTTTTTAGAAATCTTGGTGAAAAGAATAAATTTTTTTTTTCTCTCCAAACTACTACTCATTTCCCTCAAAATCTGTTCCAAATTATAAGGTAAGAAATGCTATAAAACTATAACATTATTTAATTAGAAAAGCTTTAATTGCTTTTATAAGATTTATTAAGAACATTGTCTTAAAAAATTTTTCAATAATGAATTTTTAGAAGAATTTTTTTCATTTTTTTTTTTTTTTTTTTAAATTATAATAATTTATAATATATAAATTGTTAAAAATTCTGCATATACTCATCCTAAGCTAGTTGATATTGTTATTAAGTGAGAACTATATTTATAAAACAAAAATTGAAAAACTTAAAACAGTCCTTTTGCATCAAGATTTTTTAAATAATTTCTAATTTTTTTATGTATGTAAAATATTACATATGTCCCTGTCTGAAAGTATGGTCGACCATATACGACATTATCAGGAAATAAGAGTGATGACTATAGTAAATTTATATTCAATATTCCTAAAATTAGATTACAGAGAATATTTTTTTAAATTTTTTAAATTACTGGGTACTTAAAAATTATATTTAAAAAAAAAAGGCGCTCACCGGTCACTTTCTCAAATTATGTTTTAACAGATAAAGTTTTGGTAGAACAACAATAAAGGTGTTGGCACATTTATCATCACTTAAGTGATCTATGAGTGATAAGCATGTAATCACTGCTACTGTTTGTTTTAAAAATCCATTTCTCTGTTATTTTAAACTAAATAATATTTACTTTAAATCAGCTAATATTCCTAAAATAAAGTTTCAGAAAAGTATATTTTATTTTTGGAAGATTTTTAAAACCGAGAATTAACTTTTGTTTACAAATGTGTCAAAAATGGCCACTTTTAAACGATTTCGTGACAGTGACCAAAAAGTTGAGATTCCAAACAATATAATTTCTATTTGAAATGCAGCAGAATATTTTGTTTACTGGAAATGGTAAATTTAATCATTTGGCTTTCAATTAAAATTAAAAAGAAAGCTTCAAGAATGCTTTTTCATTTTTAAAAATTAATTTTAACTTTAGGTATCAAAAATTTAGTGAAGCTCCCTAATTTAATGGTATAAACAGTTCAAGAATTTTTTATGAAAATTTAAAATTTGTTTTACTTACCATAGATTTTTTTTTTTTTTTTTTTAAGGTGTCAGATTTCTCATATTTTTTGGAAATTTCTTGTTTTTCTTATTTTCTTGGTCTAAATTGGCCCAGACACGTTTAGATTTATGCCAAGAGAATAATTTGGCCATATGTTGTTGCATAATTTTTAAAAAGTCATTTTTGTATTGTTTTGTATGACATTGTCCTCTATCCTCCATCAAAAGGATGTTCTTGAGGAATGTAAGGAAAGTGACTACTAGAAGTCCTTTCTTTAAAATACAGGGAGTCCTTGACTTATGATAGTTTTATTCCTACGATGTGTCATAACACAATTTTTCGTGTAAGTTGGGACATACCGGTGATTTTTCCATGAATAAGTTCTTATACTACTCAACCAATGCTAATGTAATAGTAAGGTAATAATCTAGGACCCAACATGTTTCTGTGATGTACGTTAACACAATTAGGACTAAAAATACACATAGGACATAAATATAATACATATTCTGAAATTGTTTTAAACTGCTTGTATATTTATTGCCATTGTGGTCGTTGATTCTCGGAATATGAGAAGACAACGCATAAGATCTTGTCTCTCTTGCAGTACTTAGAAGCAACAGCAAATCTGGGGAAGAAAGAAAACCAAACTTTGTCTTTTTTATTAGGAGTTTGTGTTGTATGTACAAGGCAAATGGCATAAATCAAAACAAGATTAAGGGAAATTGCATCATAACCACAAATTATCATAGTTTGTGACTGACTTGTAGATGTTTTTCTTAATTGATGTTCTTTGGCTGAGAAACAGTGAATGACCAAAAGTGCAAATTACTTCCTATGCCGTAAGTAAAAATTTGCTATGTTTAATATTAGGTTGTTTCAATACGTGAATCTGCTAAAAAAAATTTTTGTCTAGGCAATCTATGGACCTATACTTGTCCACTGTTTGAAAATTGAGCAAAAAAGGAATTTTCAAACACCACTAGTCTGTGCACCTCTCATATACCTACTGTTCTACTTTCTCTTTGAATGCTGACTGATTTAAGTATTTTCTTGCTGTTCTATGATAATCCATGTAATACAGATTTTGCTTTCCTGGGCTAATCTGGATATACTACTTTGCAAAAAGCAAGTTTTTTTGTCTCATCACACAAAAGGTACATTCTCATAATCCAGAAATTAAATACTGTTATATCCTTTCCTTCATTACTTACCATACAGTTAAAAACAGCAAGTACAATTCTTAATTTCATTACTACTTGAATTTTGCTTATTCTTTCCTGAGACTGATCAATAATGTACTCCATTTCAAAATTTGTTATTTCATGTGCTCTTAGACTATACAGAATTGTGAAATGATTGGGCATTTATTTCTCTTGCATTTTTATAATAAATTAACTGTCAATGAGTCTATATTTAATGTTAAATACAAGTAAAGCAATTGTGCCTATCGTTTCTATATAATATTCTGATCATATGTTATAAATTACTGATTATATCTTCTTTTAATGCTTTTAGCTGACAAAAGCTACCTGGAAATGTTTAAAATGAAATGCTGTTTAATAAATGAATGTACATCAAGAAGAGAAACTAACTGCAAAATTTAATCTATCATTCTTTCCATAATATTGATATAATACTTATTTTGATAAAAAATAAATTGGTTGTATAAGGCAATATATAAAATATACTGATAAAATAACATGAGCTATTGTCATTTTGTCCAATATATTGATCAAATAATTTATCTATTTTTTTTTATTTCAGAGAAAAAATCTATTTTTCTGTTGGGTCTGTCAAAATATTTCAATATGGAAATTATTCAAGATGGTTATTTAGTTTTAGTCAATGAAATCCCAGTTACTTTTGTTATCTGAACAGTGATAAAATTTGGTTTCATACATGGATGTATGTTTAATGTTTTAGTTTTGAATTTACCAATTTTGTAAGTTTGCATTAATGTTAATAATAGCAATTTATGTTCTTATTGATATACAAAACTAATTTTGTATGTTAATATCAAACTTTTTTTTTTTATTTTATTTCACCCCAAGCAAGGCAATAAAAGCCACTAAGATGCAAGGGGCTACTGAGAGAAAAAAGGAACAAAGAAGACAATAAAAGAAAAGGATTCAATCATATAGAAGATGACAATTGACATTGTATTTAAATTTTTGAAAATTGTAGTTAATAGGAAAATGGGAAGCCAGAAGAGAATTCCACAGGCAAGAAGTGCGAGAAAAGAAACTATATATCATTACAACTATCAATTTCAACAATGAAATTATTAGACCTAGCTGCCCATCTAGTACTGTGCTTAAATTCATAAACTGTTATATAAAAATATACTGTACAGTAATTTAGACATAGAATACTACTTGAAAGTAGGTACATTCACCTGTTTCTTTTTTTTTAATTGCTGTTTCTATTCATAGGCACTTGAACCCTTCAGTTCCTAATGGCCAGCCACATCCCTGTCAAAATGTTATCCAAGAAGTATGTCAATAGATTTTCTCTATATTTTAATTTAAAAAAATTTTTTCATAAATTTAATTTCGCTATCAAATTGTTGCTTTTGAACATAACTTTCTAAGTTGAATATTCTGTTCATTAAAGAACATAAAATGAAGAATTATCTTCCGGCGATATTTGCATCTTATATCACAGATGCTTGTCTCATGGATAGTGCTTTAACCATTTCAGTCACATAAAATTATGGCTAGGCTGGACACAAATCTTGTCATATTGCCATCTTTCTGTTCTAAATTTTCATCATTTTGAATTATTTTAAAATCTGAGATAAAATATTTTTAATTTTTTATCATTGCTGATTTTTTATCAGTGCTGTTTTTTCTCCTTCTATTGCTATCACAGCTTTTTAGGTTTAATAGCCTCTAATTGTTTAAGCAGTAAGAATAAAGAAGTAATTTCTGACAGATGTGACTGAATTGGTAAAGATCATCTCATCCATGAAAGACAAGTTCCCAGGATAAAAGATGTAGGTTCAAGTTTTGTTGGAAGCTACCTAATCTTTGTATTTTTTTTTATTTTTTTTTTTTATTAATCACAATATTTTAAGTTGAATATCTGTTAAAATAAGCAGAATGGAATAGAAATAATGAAGTATCTTCCATTCTATATTGTATATGTTACCCAGGATGTGTTGAGGAATATATGATCTGAAAACATATTAATGTTATCTGAAGAAATCAAATTTCCAGTCATGATCTTAAAACTTTTCTAATTTAATACATAACAGGTATTTCCAGTGCTGTCTCATGCATGTGAAAAGTACCAGTCAGACGTGCGCATTGTTGAGCGGTGTTGTCGCTGTATCAGATTTGCTATTCGTTGTCTGGGCAAAAATTCAGCTTCTGTTTTGCAACCATTAGTCAGTCAGGTAAATAATCTTGGCTCCTTTTCCCTTAACTTATGAGAATTACTTATGTGTAATTACTTTAGCTCATTAGCCAGTTCCCTGTACAATCACTGAAGTTAAGCAACATTGAGTTTGGTCAGTACCTAGATGGGTGACTGCTTGAGAATACTAGGTGTTGTAAGCTTGGATGTGCAGGTGGTGTAATAGATAATGGCTCACTATTGTTAATCGAAGAACTGAATTCCAATTCACATTAGATTTGTTATATTCACTTATATACAAATACCTTTGGAAAAGATATGAATCCCTCTCTTCTCCTCCAGCTACGGGTTAATTGTAAGACATGTATCACTAACTCATCTTCAATAAAGAAAATTTTTTAAAAATCTTACAATCTAAAATTATTTTCTACCTTTTATATAACCTGTAAAGAGTTGATAAGCCATGGAAAATGAATCGGCCAACCAAAAATTTAGCTCATTAGGTAAATTTGTTAGTATTTGATCAAGTGTTAAAAATATCTTCATTTTGTACTGGCAATCTATAGGGCCTGATGAAGGCTCTATAGATTGCCAGTACAAAATCACAAATGAAGAGTTTTACCAAATAACAAAAACCACATCATTTGTACACTTCTAACAACAGCCGCAACAACAAAAAATAGGTAACGCATATAACTAGAAGAGAAAATGATATAATCAAGCTGTTAACTTTTTACACTACTAAAAACAAAATGATTGAAAGGAAACTCTCATTAGAAAGAGCTATAACATATACTTGTCTTGAGAAGTTTAATTTCCTGAAAAACTGTCTTAATAAAAAGTTCTTATGAATTTCAACTGACAGTAATTCTGTTTGGTCAATGAATGTTTATTGTATGGAAACAGCTAATTTTATCATTGCCTTTTGTTTTGCTAATCCAGCTCATGGAGAAGTGTTCTTGTTAATTTTCTATTTTCTAGATCATTTTAATCCTAAAATTGATTTCATGATTTCAAACAGTATGATAAAGGGCTATATCAATAAATCTGTAGCCTAATAGTTTTTGCTGAATTTTTATCTGAAAATTTTTTTTTTTTTTTTTTTTTATGTTTGAATTAATTTCCTTTGTCAATGCACTTACATTGAAAAATATTTGTTGCATAAAATAATTTTTTTTCATAATTAGACTTATTAATGCATACCTATGTACATATTTTCTAATTGGTAAATTCGGTGTTACAGTATGGTAGTACTTTTTGTAATGATTAATATAATGTTATCAATTAGCTGTTTTAATATATGATCTGTGCCTACAAATTTATATGTAGTTGCAATTTATGAGGTTAATTCATCAACTAATGAAAATAACTACACAGTCTAACCTACTCTTCATAGCTTACAAAAAAAACCTGGCAAGAGAGAAATTTTGTATATAGCAAACCTTAAATGATTCTATACCTTGTTAGTACACTAAATATAGAAGTAAATTGTAAGTAGTTTGACTAATAGGGATACTATTTTAAAATGTAAAAAAAAAAAGATCAAAATAGTTGATAATGAAAGCTATCATAGTGTTTCCATGAAAAATTACATTACATTTGTAAAACATATTCTTAAAATTGCATATTTGCATTATCTCTGCCATCTTTGGATTTTTGTCCCCCATTGAATAAATGAATAAAAGCTTAAGTCTATTCCATTTGGATGCAGCACATTAAATAAAAAAAAAAAACCCTGCTTGTCTCTTAAGCTGATTTCCACAGATTAAAAAGAAATTATTATTTTTAAATCTCTTACATGTACAAAAGCATCTTCTGTACAAATTTATTTTTAATCACTTATATATGCCATTTCATTTTTTTTTTCCAGATGGTAAACCTGTATCAGGTGCACCAGCATTCCTGTTTTCTTTACCTAGGAAGTATTTTAGTTGATGAATATGGAACTGATGCAAGTTGTGTTCCTGGTTTATTAAATATGTTACAGGTAAACTTAAATTTCCTATAAAATTAACATGGCAATAAATGTGACAATTCCAACCCTCCCCATAACAAAATGATAAAATGCTATAACCTTTCATTCATTTTAAAAAAAGAAAAAAAATGAAAATTCCACTATATCTTAACCAAAATTATTTAACAAGATGCCTCACTTAACATGTTTAAATTTGATCAGAAAAGGCAAATAATAATCTGTACAAAGCTCAATTCTAGCAAAATTTAAAGTAAAGATTGGCTTAATTTTCTATCTGCTTGATTTATTTTTAATTTTTATTCATTTGTTTCCCTGTTAATTATCACGTATGTTACATCCTGCCATTAGCTCAGATAAACAATGGACAATTCCATTAAATAATGGATTGCAAGGAAAGACACACAAACACACACATTATTCAAATAATTTTATTATAATAGATTACAATAAAAACATTTTACATCGCTACACAAAAACTTTCATGTTTCAGAACTTTAATCTTTCCTCATCGGGCAATAGTGGATTACATATAATACAAATGATTTATTTGGGAAATTTGAAAACAAATCATTACCTCTTTTGAAAGTTAAAAAGAGTAGGAGCCTAATGTCAGAATTAAAATATATACTTGTGGGCATGTCTAGATTAAACAATTAAGTCAGGTCTAAACTAAAATATATAAATGAAAAATAAGGTCAGACGGTGTCTTGATACAATAACACTCTAGACATGTCAGTGTCAAATGTAATGTAGTGAAATCCAAAGTTCAGATTTAATGAAGTAGACATAGAGTAACCTTGAACAGAAAAAAGTTATTAAGAATTTTTCCAATTTTGTTATATTACGGAAACTTCATAAAGGAACCAAATAGATAAAGTTAAAAGAAATTTATTTGTGGAACTTTAATATACAGTGATAATTTTATTGAATGGGTCATAAAAACAGAGCAATATTAAAGTTGAAAAATCCAGTAAAGATTGAGTGGACCATTATATACTTATAAAATAATGACTATGTAATTGTAATACATAAAATATTTATAAAAAATTCTTTTAACTATATTTTAATGTAAAATTTAGACAATGCCAACATAAAACTGTTAATTCATTTCTTTGGTTTAGCAGAACTTTATTTTTAGGAAAGTTTATAATATGCAGCTTTTCTTGTAATTACAAGGGACTTGGGTCATAAAATTTACAAATTCTTGTTTTTTAATATTTTCCATTTAACCTTAGGAGTTTTACTAATTTCTTCTAAATGTCAAAAATATTTAGAAAGGGATGTTCAGTTACAATAGGCATTGTTGTTGAAAGAAATGTGCTGATACTACTTAAGTTTAAAGGGATTTTTTTGTAGTATAAAATTATTAAAGTTCTTAATATATATATATATATATATATATATATATATATATATATATATATTTTGTGTGTTTGGTTTTAGCATAGGAAAGGGAAGATGAGAGGCAATAATATATTCATGCCTTTAACATCTGCTTCAGTGACAAGGAAAAAAAACCTTATCAGTTTTGAATCTTTTCATTTGTATCCTCTTACTACTTAAATGAATGACCTGTATTCATATTTATGATTGCTATTACAATATTTTGTTAGTTGTTAAACTCAAACATTTAACAATGCAATTGGGGAATTTCAAAAGGTATTTTATAGTTGTGGAACTCAAAAGGAGCCTATTCAATATTAAAATTTTGTCAGAAAATTCAAAAATAAAAACTGAAATGTTCACAGTTACTGTTATTTTTTTTTTCCTTTTTTTAAGTTTTTTTCCTTGTTTTTCCCTTTTTTTTTTCCTTGTTTTTTTCCTTTTTTTTTTTGTTTTTTTTTTTTTTCCTTGTTTTTCCCCTTTTTTTTTTTTTTTTTTTTTCCCCTTTTTTTTTTTTTTTTTTTTCTTTTTTTCCCTTTTTTTTTTTTTCCTTGTTTTTCCCCTTTTTTTTTTTCCTTTTTTTTCCTTTTAATTTTTTTTTTGTTGTTTTTTTTTTTTTTTTTTTTTTTTCTTGTTTTTTTTTTTTTTTTTTTTTTTCTTTGTTTTTCTTTTTTAATTTTTTTTTTTCCTTGTTTTTTCTTTTTAATTTTTTTTTTTCCTTGTTTTTTCTTTTTAATTTTTTTTTTTCCTTGTTTTTTCTTTTTAATTTTTTTTTTTTGTTTTTTTTTTTTAATTTTTTTTTTTCCTTGTTTTTTCTTTTTAATTTTTTTTTTTTTTCTTGTTTTTTCTTGTTTTTTTTTTTTTTTTTTTTTTTTTCTTTTTTTTTTTTCCTTTTTTTTCTTTTTTAATTTTTTTTTTTCCTTGTTTTTTCTTTTTAATTTTTTTTTTTCCTTGTTTTTTCTTTTTAATTTTTTTTTTTCCTTGTTTTTTCTTTTTAATTTTTTTTTTTCCTTGTTTTTTCTTTTTAATTTTTTTTTTTGTTTTTTTAATTTTTTTTTTTTTTTTTCTTTTTAATTTTTTTTTTTTCTTTTTTTTTTTAATTTTAGGCATTTTGCACACCTGCTTTTAAACAACTGGAAGAACATAATGGGTTGAGAAATCACCCAGACACTGTGGATGACTTGTTCCGATTGTGTTTACGGTTAGCATGATTGCATTTATATCTTCTTGCTATAGCCACGTATTTTTGTCTATTTTTCTTTATTTGTAATATCTCTAACTTTTTGCTGTAAACTCTTCTTCCTTGCATTGGCAATGCCAGATTATAGTGTCTTTATAACATGATAATATGATTGTTGAAATATGTTTATGAAACAAATGGAAAAAAATCTGTGAAATAATAATTGGAAAATATACGTTTAAGCACTCTCTTGTAAATAACCTAATAACAAAGAATTACAATATAAGATTCATATATGCTATCATCTTTTATAGCCTGAGTAAAATACTTAAATTTATAAATTATCTATGACATCTCTTTTGAAATTTATTAATGACTGAAATTCAATTATTCATTCTTTTTAATGATTTCTTTTTAATGATTTCTTTTGGTTTCATTAAAATATTATGAAACATCTTTTAATAAATATTAGGAAACAGTTGGATTGAAAGATTCACTTGTTACATGTGAATAAATTAAAATACATTCAGTCACTATTAAATCTTTTTTTTCCTAGAGCATTAATCAATTTAGTTTTCAAATATTAATATTTTGGAATTTCTAAAAACATTTTTTTACAACAAATCTGTTTCTGTTATTAGTTTTAGATGAAGCTATTATGCTATAAGACCATATTAAGTTTCTAAGTTAAAATTTGAAAAGAATTTTTTGACATCAGCAAAATATTTCAATGGAAATTATCTGTCAGGTGCAGCATATATATTCACCCATTATTCATTTTGTCAAAATAAAACATGTTAGGTTTTGGTTAATGAAAATTTACTGACTGATTGTTATATTTATTGACAATATTTTACATATACAGTGTGTGGCAGAAATACCACCCACATAATGGTAAGACATTTGCTAGATGAAGACACCTTTGCCACTAATGTCTTACCATTATATGGGAGGTGTTTCTGCTACACCCTGTATTTACAATTCTTTGCTTTCACCATAACCCTTAATCTCTTCTCAACTAAAGTGCATGATTTTTTTCACCACCTCTTTGCTCAAATTGTACAACAATGTCAAGAGCTTTTTTCAGGTCTGACACATTTGAGTATGAGATACACCAAAAGTCACTCAGCCATATCACAAATTCCAGAGCAGTAATGTCTTCATTGGATGGAGGCCAAATTGACTTGTCAAAATCTACGGAAATGTCTTTTGCACTAGTCTCGCATCAATTTGGACGTGTGTGGAAGCTCCGTCTTAAGTCAGGACATAGTGACTTCTAAATGTGACTGACAATTCAGGCAACACATCTCCCTCCAACATTTTCTGGTAAACTCTGCTATTCACTTTCACTCCTTCTTTAATGAACGCCAAGGACGATATCAAACCATCAGAACCAGCAGTAGCACAAACCATGACACAAGTTGGTTTCTGTTGCTTGAAATGTGTTCTGACACCTCAGGGAATTTTCCTGATGGTGTGGTATAAACCCTATCATTTTGGTCGTTGACCACAGCCGCCAGAGTGAAAAACTTGTCTGACCAAATAAAGATTTTCTCTGCAGCATACTGCATCTCCAACATTTTCTTCCCTCTACCAAGTTGTTTTTGTTTGGAGGTACTTGACAGCTGTCATTGAATCTTGTATGGTTTTTGCCCTAACTCTTTTTTAACAATCCTCCTCAAAATCTATCCAAAATATTCAACTCTTTTGCCATCTTCATGGACTTCTTTTCACCCTCTTGATGGCTTCAATGACTCCTGGTATGAACTGAATGTTTTCTTCCTGGAATTGGATTTCATGAAGTTTTGTACTTGAAACATTTTCCTCATCGAAAAAGATTTATGCAAACAACATTTAACTGTTTTATCACCACACAATTCTTCAAGCTATCTTCAATGTGACAATTTGATCATGCTTTGTTTGAGACCATATTTAAACAAAAAACTGTTAGGAAGTGTTATGCAAAATTTTAAACTATTTTTACAAATAGGTATGTTTCAATTTAAATATTTATGCTGTATCCAGTAGACTTGATGTTCTAATATTTTTTCTCATTTTAATGATTTTTATCAAATTCATGATTTTAAAAAAATTGATATAAATCAAATATCTCTTGATTCTGATTTAAAATTTGATAAATTCAGAGTGTGTGCATGTAGTGTAACAGTTGACACAGAAAATAGAATTGGTGTGCCAAATTCAAATTCCATTCAAGTTTATTGTATTCTTTTGCACAAATACTCTTTGGAAAGATATGAATTTATATCTTCTCCCTTCAGCTATAGATTAAATAGCAGAGCAGACTGGGCTCTCTATCCTTGGTTCACAACTAGTCTATGGGAAGGACAGCTTAGAATTCAAAACTGGTTGGGTGTTGCTATCAGTTCCACCTTGTGAAAACCTAACTACAGAAAGCACAGTAGTAATACATTGGCACTAGAAGTGGGTTATATTAAGAAATGGTCTATTAGATTTGGTGCATTTGTCTTAATATTTACACTTTTCGAATGTAAATTTTATAAATGTAAAAATCTGTAAAATGATTTGAAATTGATTTTTATTCATTTGTCTCTGTTCTCTTTGCAGATTTGTACAGCGGGCACCAGTAGCATTTTTACAATGCCAGATGTCCAAACCAATTCTTTGCTGTGCAATTGCTGCCTGTTCACTTGATCATCGTGATGCAAATGCTTCTGTTATGAAGTTTTTAGGAGATTTGATCAATTGTGCCACTGCCCAAGAAGTGAGTCCTTATAAAAATTCTCACTTCCTTCACTGACTAAATTTTTTTTGTTTTTGCAAAATGTAATGATCATTGGTTTAAATATATATTTAAATAAATTAAGCTGTTTGTTTTTTGTTTTTTGTTTTTTTTTTGTTTTGTTTTTTTAACAGCACAAAGATGATTTTGAAACAAGACGTTCATTAATTGAAGACCTGCTCCGTGACCATGGTCAGACATTGGTGCATTCCCTGTTGAACACGGCACTTTTTTGTTTGCCTACCTACATGGTATCTGATGTGGCTGATGTCATCTATGAACTGATGTTATTAGATAGGCCTGTAAGTAGTTATAAAGTAAAATATATCTTGTGTGTCTCTATAATGTTATTGCTTAAATAACTATAGGTTTGGTTAAACAAAGATTTATTTTCTTTTACAGCATGATTAAAAATGTCAACACTTATTCACAAAATTTAATTTTGCATCAATTGCTTCTTAGAAAACAAATAAAATCAGCACAGAAACTAAATATAAATTTTGAATTCTTTATTTCCTCATTAAATTTATAATCCTTAAATATTTGTACTTTTACCAGATCTGTGCAAAGACGAATCATTCAGTATTGAAATAAGTCATCTATTTCAATTCAATAAAAAAACTCAATTTATATTTAGTTTCTAAGATGTAATTAATTTAAAATTAAGTTTTTGTGAATCATGCTGTAGAATTTAAATCTTTGTTCAACCAAAATTATACTTAAACATTTTCTACTTACATTAGTGTAGAAGCAAACTTGTTAAGTATATTTGTACACAAGTGACTTAGTTGATAGCTTACTCCAAAAAATCAGTCCTGGGTATGATGATAAACTACATCTGGCAGCAAGGTCTCTGATTGGGAGATTGGAGGTTTTGAGCAGTGTGGAAACACTTAATTGCAATTGTTCCCTAGTCCACCCTGACCCAGGGTGGTAGCACTTGTTAGAGTCCCAGCTATGGACAAATAGTGAATTCGCCCAATATATTGGGGGAATTCACTATTTGTTCATACATTTATACTAAAAATACCAGCAATACATTTTTTATATATTAAAAAAAAAAAAAAAAAAAATAACAATACCTATTTTATAGCAAAATGACCAACAATAAATTTTATCTGTGGTTGAAGGCATACAGTTGCATTCAAAATATTTAGATTTCAGCATTAAATAAACCATATAGGTTGATATGCCATTAAACAAAATCAACCAACTGATTTCAAAAGATTCTAATCAATGTCATACCTTGCTTATTAAACATAATAAGAAAATTGTACTGAATTATTATTAACCTTTCTCTTTTCAGACTTTTTGTCAATGGTTGGAGACTACCTTGAAAGCCTTGCCCACTGAGAGCAGTGGAGGAACTATTACTGCAACTCATACACAACTTACAGATTTCCATAAAGCAGTCACAAGGTATATTTTTTCTTCTTCAAATCAGTATTACTAGAATTAAATCCTTTTGGTAAAAATGTCTTCTCATGGTCCAATTTTGCATAAATACAACTGCTAACTTTACCATTTCATTTTGTGAACAAATTCTTCAAACATTATTTTCAGTACAGTTCAGAATATGATGCACTTTTCCCAACAAAATGACATGAAGGAAAAAAAAAATTGATTGCTTTACCTGCTATGAGAAGATGGGGCTTTTCTATAATGCCTATATTACCAGTATTCCTATTGAAATGGGAACATCTTTTTGCAGATACATTCTATATACCATCAAATACAGTATATATTATAAATTTGTACAATACAGCATTTCAGTTTCACAAAAGAAATTCCTTGTGTACATATAGATTGAATCTTGACAGATATATAAATGTGGAATATGGTGTTACTGAGAAAAGTTGTTCTTAGGATTAATGAAAAAACTTTCATATACAGCACTTAAAAATGATTTTATCCAATTCATCTAATAACTGAAAAATGAATCTTTACTCTTATGAAGATTTTTATCATTTCATAAAATGGTTTGTAGTAGCTGATATTGTAAAATTGCATTATAATGCCTCAATTTAGAAATTAATTTTGAATATTTTTCCCTGTCTGCTTTAGTATTGTTCAGCTTGTGTTGCATTTATAAGATTTAATCAATTGAAGGATTACATATCTCACTTGTTTAGTAATAAGTTAAAAATTCCATTTGATTCACTATTCAATAGTTCATTTCAGATTTATGTTTTATATGTTGTCCTTCAAACTGTCATGAAATTTATAAGATTTTGCTGAGGCAAAAAAAAAAATGTATTTTTTTCCTTTCATAAATTCTAAATATTGCTGTTTATTTTGGAATGATGTGCTGAGCTTTTTCATTTTGAATTTTAATTCTTTCTTAACCTTTTTTTCTTTTCTTTTTTTTTTTTTTTTTTTTTTTTCTAGTGCTGAAAATGTTAAACATGTGTGCAATGCATTGAAAGACTTTGCTCGACTCTTCCGGTAGTGTTCCTGTCACCATCATTATCATTGTAATTGACAGGCATTTTCAACAAAGTTTGAGTTTCTATAAAACTGAAAATGGGGGAAAAAATTTTTTTTTTCTTTTGACAATAACAAAAAGAAAAAAAGCTGGATTTCTAAAGTAAACAAACCTAACCTTTCCAAATTTACAAAAAAAAAAAAAAAAATCTGGTTCTCCGTGTTTATTCTGTCCAAGTCTTGTGACAGCTTTGGAAACTCTTCTCAGATACTGAGCTAATGGGAGCTAATATTGGCTCGAATACCAGTACAACTTACCACCGACAATTTCCACTGCAATCCCCTTTCTCTCTCTCTCTCTCTCTCTCTCTCTCTCTCTATGTGGGCTTGAAAAAACTCTTTTGCTATATCTACAAGATATTCAAGTTATGCCCACAGGCTTTACTTATTTTACATTATTTGCTGAATTCTTTTATTTTCTTCTAGTCTTTCTGATGACAACATTTTAAAAATTAGGTATTCAGATATCATATTTTTACTTTGAGAGAGGACAGAAGAGAATTAAGTTTTGACAGTTACTTTCTGAAAGCAGATAAGTGAAACAATAAGCAAATTTAAGGAAAAAGCATTTTATTTTTAATTTAAAAAAAAAAAAAAAAAGAATTCATTTTTATTTCATGTATATACTTCTCTACATCATTTTTCTCCCAAGCTTCTAAATGGCAGACATTTTCTAAGTTTTATTTAGAACTCTGTGATCAATAATTGCCTACATTTTACACCTTTCCTGTGCTTCACTCATTATCTTGTTGAAGAACAATTTTAATTTGGAATAAAAACAAACCTTGCCTCCATTGAATATTACAAAATGCTGAATTTTTGTGTCTTTTGTTTTTTGTGTTTTTTTTTTTTTTTTTTTTTTTTTTTTTTTTTTTTCTTCTTCAAAATCTACAGTATCTGTAGAAAAAATTTATGTAAACTGATTTTGCATGTATTGTTGTTTGCTCTAAAATTTAAACTAGGTATAAATTTATTGTTGTGCTGAAACTCCCTATTCAGTTAAGTGTGTAGATTAACTTTTTTCTTTTTAAATGATTGATCTCTTAATACTTAGATTTAGCAAAAGGAGTTGGCACTTGAAAGTAAAAGGTTATAGTAAACTGAATCAGATAAGTCAATGACTGAAACCTTAAAATGTAGTATAATGGAAAATAAATGTTAAATTTAATTTTTTGGGATTGCATGTTATTTTATTTAGAAGAAATGAGCAGTAGTTGTTTTTAAGCTCTTGAAATCTAGAATTTAATTTTTAGGTTAAGATAGCTATCAAAGTTTTAAAAGCTTTTTATCTCGGTTTTTATTACTTATTTTGTTTTGTCTTTGACATTTGATGATCTTTAACTTCAGCACAAAACCATATTTGTAAAGCAAATGTAAAGAACATTGTGAATAGATTGTAAAGTTTATATATTAGTCAAGATATTTTGTTTCCAGAACTTTTGGAAGAAATGTGATAATTAATCTTTGAATTATGGCATAAACTCAATGTGATATTTTATTTACTGTATATCTTTTTAGTAATTCAGGTATTTGTCAATGTACTAAATAGACTTTTTTTCCTTTTTTTGTGCTAAATAGACATTCCATTTGTAAATTAGGCTTTTGAAAAATCTATATCAAATCGATATTTTCTATAAATTTTTAAGCACTTGTTTGAAAAGGGCTTAGAAACTACTCTGCTTTATTTGAGATACTTTTTTTTCTTGTTTGGCCAATTGACATTGTTTAACTATTGAGAGAAGTATATTTAGGTGAAATTTTTTTTAACTTCTGGATTCTGATAAAAAAGTGTTTGTTTCAAATGGATTTAATTTCTGCTGAAAAACTAAAATGTTTATTTTTAAATCTTAGCTGGTGTTCCCTTCCTTGATTCTACCATCAATTTTAAGCTTTCATTATGGAAGGAGGCCACTGGAAATATTTCTGTAAATATAAAACAGCTATTTCTTTTTCCTTTCTCTTCTACCTCTTATATCTGATGGGTTGGATGTCATGGCTCATCTGGTATAGATGTTGGTAATCTAGTTGGCTCTTGTTAGAGCCTATGAGCAGGCATCTACATCACAGGCAAGTCTTTCATACTCCATGCCCTATTTGTGTATCTGTGAAAACGGTAGTGTAAAAATCGTGTTTACCATTTCAAGAGAGATCTGTTGCTTGACTGCTCAAATTTGAAAAAAAAAAAAAATTGGCCATATTATCTGGTTGGCTTTGGTTTAATTTCAGAAATCATCACCTAGATTTTGGCCAAATCTTTTACTTTGTGCCACCTGTTTGATATGCTTGTACAATCTGCAACCTAACTGTTATAACTTTTTTTTTTTTTTTTTTATCACTTATCTTTCAATGAGGATTAGATCAATCTTCAACTTTGTGTGTGAGAGAGAGAGAAAGAGAGTGAAAGAAGTAAACTGAAACTTGCTCATTATCTTATGCTGTCTTTCCCTTCACTTCCACATTAGAACCATCAGTTAGCCTGTCATTTTCATTTCATTCATTCTCTGTTATTCTTACTTTCTATGATCTCCATCTTTCAATATTTTCCAACTCCAATTCACAATATTACAGAAAGGCACAGTTGTTATTATTTTATATATATTTTTTTTACATCTGCAAGTTGGGGATGCAGTTTTTGCTTGATAGTTTCTCTGGCAACTTTAAAAAACAGTTTTTAACTATTATACAAAAATAAAATGGGTGCTTGCAAATGCTCTTGTGTTTTGTTTTTAATTTTTGACAAAAAAGCTTTTTCTAAATCTTGAAGTTGTTATTGTTTTTTCTTCTATTGATTTGAGAAGTAAAAACAATTTCACTATGAATTTAAAATTTCCTTATTAAATACTTGTGAACTTTCATCTTGCTTCATGCAATATCACATTTGGCTCCATTGTTAATGCCGTCAATGATATGTTGGAGGTTCTATTCTAAATGCTGCATTGATAATACTTATTACCACAAGCTGAGCAAAAAAAAACTTGGATTTTGTAACACAAAAAAAAATCTTGCTTTCCATAATGAAATAGTTTTTCCAAAATTGGTTTTATTACATAACAAGATACAGTTTAGAAAAAAAAAATTAATTAGTGCATGTGCTGCGATTATGTTGTTCAATGGAAATGCATTCAAAGCTAACACTCATTGGTACCTAGCTTACTGAGTCAACACAAGGCCTATTGGCAAGAGTATCAAGTCATATTCACTTATGAGGTCTTGTAATGTATTTGAATGGTTCAGCAATTTTCTACTGTCATTTAGCAATGTGCCTGCATAAAATGTTGAGTTAAGTGCAGTTAATCTGCTACTGAGATCTTCAAAATGCTTGATCAGTCTTTTGGGGACCATTCTTTTATGTCCAGAATGTTTAGGAACAAGAGTTATCATTATATACTTTTCTCCGTTTGGACTAGTATGCTCATCTTGGTGGTTATACTCATATTTTGGCTCTGACTTTCCTCAGGCACTTTTGGGGTCAAACACAAATACATATTTCAAGGCTGATTAAGATAAGCATTCTGGGTAACCAATGTTTAAAAATTTGTGACATTCTTTAGGACTAGTGCTGAACAAAATGTACTTGGTTTCAGTAGAAACAAGCAAACAATAACTGAGCAGTACTAAAATAAGAACTAGATGATATTGTTAGACATGAGCAATGGAACACGAACAGTCTACCTCTAGATTATATAAAGGGTTCACTTCAGAATTCCCTGTAGGTTACCTAGATCAATATACACTTGAGGAAGACCAAAGAGTACAATAGCCAAAATATTGTAATAACAACAAAGATGAGGAGAATAGTCTGAATATAAATAGTGTAAATAATTCATCAGTTCTCTTACATGATTAGAATCTGCCTGCAGCAACTTTCTAATAAACTTTTAAAGAAAGACAATAATTTCTAATTTTAAATATTTGGAGATGTTGGATTTTTATCAAAATGATGTCTCTTTTGTAACCAGTGTTAGGTTATTATGGGTTATAAATATTTTGTAATGGCTGTTCAGTTTGAAGACAATCATAATGATGAATGATTGGATGGAAGCAACTTGTATTTTTCTCAATACGACATTTAATGTCTAATCTTTGGATGATTTGAAATAAACAGCAATTTCACCGCTTATGAGGATGGATCAATAATGCTGTAACCTGTAAATATTACATGAATTTTGATCTGAAATTTTCATTGTATAATGTTTGATTTTCATGATTAATAATATTCACTACTGATTTGTCTGACAAGGAAAGTGATGTTTGGAAATAAATATTTATGTAAAATGCTTTTGTCATGTGGCTATTGACTTATTGATGTACCTACATGTATGAGTCCATATTTTCTCATTTTACAAATATTTTTCTTACAAATATGGATATAATCAGAACTAAAAATGTTCATAATAATTCTAACACAGCCATAATTAAAACAAGCTATTACAGCTGTTCCTTATGATATATTGGTGAAACTTGCAGAAACTTTAAAAAAAAACATTATGAACATAAGATCTTACATAATTTATCTAAAGCATTAGTTTTACATGGAAATAATTTCAGACAACTTTGATCTCAAGAATGCCATACTCCTTAAAAGAGGAAATTACTTAGATGAAAAGTTCTTGACAGTGCAATTATCAATTCTTACCAAAATGTTAACTTACACTTTAGATTGTTTTTTCCAAATATCTCCTTTCTTAAAGGAAATACTCTTTTCTCAAAACAACATACATGACCATAAAATTTTTCTAAAAAAAGAAAACTAAAGAGCTTTTAAATATTTAAAGTAATACATAAATAATTCAACAAAATAATAATTACGTTAAAATAATTAAATGATAATTCAATAACATTTACTCACTTTTGTTTATTAGGTAATAAATTACATCACTTAGTGTCCTCCATAGTTTACCTTTCCTTACACAGCTTTAAGAATTTTTTTTAGAGTACTCTCAAATTTATAAATTGAAAACTTATTTTTCCTCCACTTCTATGTATAAATACAAGTTGCAAAATAAAATCTTACATTGCTAAAGTTTCTCGGGACAAAATGTGAAATTTTCCTTTTGTCACTTACAGATATATTTTATTTATATCTAAATTGTTGCACATAGATACTTTTTTTTTTTTTTTTTTTTTAAAGGCCTATTAATATGAAATAAATATTATTAGTCTTATTGATAATATTTTTTTCATTTTGCTGTTTTTTTATTCCTCGAATTTCATTAACTGGCAAATTAATTCTACATATAAGTGTACATGAACTATCTTTTGTTATTTTTGTGTGTGTGTATATATATATATATATTAACCTTAATCAGTATTGGTTGTATCAATTCCTGGCTACTAGCAGCCCTCATTGATTATTCATGCACAGCATATAGATTGTGTTGATAAAAAAAAAATTTAGACAAATTTTTTATTAAAATATTTACTGG